GTTCCCCAATTCCCTGTGCTTCCCGGGTAAGGTGATGTCCCACCCTGCTTATGCTCACCCTCCATGGGCTGCACCTACTGTCTAACCAGTCCCAATGAGATGAACCAGGTACCTCAGTTGGAAATACAGAAATCACCTGCCTTCTGCATTGATCTCACTGGGAGCTGCAGACCAGAGCTGTTCCTATTTGGCCATCTTACTCGGGCACCAAAATCAATGATACACACTTAATCATGGCCTGGTACGCTTTTAATCATGGCCTTCCCATGTATTCTAAATTTACACTATATCATTCCTTTTCATCTAGAACCTGGAAATTCTTTCTTAGACATGTTTCTGATCAAACCAGGTAACTCCAGTATGCATCCAGAAGAATTTTTCTTTTGAGTCATGAAATATGTTTATTTAGCTCATTACCTGCATTTCTTGCCCTCTGTTGCATTATTTCTGACACTCTGGGAAAGAAGTCTACAAGATTTATTATTGCTCAAGTATAACATTATCATTCCTTTGCCTTCCTCTCTCAAAAAGGCTTCAATGGGAGTTATTTTTGTTTATATGCTTACACAAACAACTATTTGAGCCCAAAATCCTTTAAGGAAAGTAATTCATTTCTGACTGATGGAGGAAGTATTTATAGGACGCAGTGATAGACCACACCTACTGTGAATAGCCAGAAGGCCATTATACTGTTCTGGGAGTATACTTTTGAAAAGTTAATGGATTCTTAAACAAAATAGGTTGAATTACAAATTCTCTCAGACCGTACACTTCAAATGGTCCATGATTGGCAAATTCAAAAAAATAAAATGAAATTTTGGTTAGGAATGGTAATTAAATATATAAGTTGTGATATTTTATTTTCTGTGTTATTTTTCTCATATTGTAATTTAGTTCCTAAAAATGAGCCCATGAAAACTTCCCAGAGTGAGAGGCTGTTTTGTTTTGTTTGTTTTTTCTGGTTTGTTTGCTTTTTGTTTTTTACTCTTTCTAAGAAATACATTAAGCTTCTTAGTGAATTATTCCTGTTCATTTGGAAAGAATAACAATTTAATCTCATGCATGCACTCGTAAGCTATGCAAGGTAAAATAATAATAATATTTACTTTGGGTTGTCTCTAGATAATTTTTTCCTTTTCTACTTTCTTTCATTTCACACTGTTTATTTTTGAAATAGTTGGACACCTAGATGAAGGGAAAAAAAGATCAAAAGTCTTAAGCACTCTGACCCAGTTAAACAAACCTGTAGTAAAAATGAAAAATGTTGGTAAATTTGGTGGTGCTTATTTGCTGCACAAAACTGTTTTTTTTCCCCTCTCTCTCTTTTGCTATACAGAAGAAACTACTGTAGAATTCTTTAAGTATCAAACTCCTTAAAATCCTCCTTTAGAGGATTTTAATTAAATAGGATATGTGCACACTTGATTTACAGGCACCCTCTCAGGGACTCACCTGAGGGTTCTTTGAAAATTTGTATCAGTGTTTTATGAACTGTTACTGTGATACAAATGCAATGTGTTCTGACTGGAGACAGAAAGTGGACTGCATGTAAATTTAGATTATGAAACTAAGGTGGACAGGCAGAGGCACATCTGTATTAAAGTCCAAGGGTCTTGAAATCACATGGGCCAAATGACATCTTAAAATAATAACTTATGGCACAGAAAGACAGATGGCTAAGACATATTATGAAAGCGAAAGAGGAAATGTGTCAAGATAAGAGGAGTACCAAACCTTCCTTAACTCTCAAGGCTGATTAAATTTACACAAAGGAATGGTAAGCTTGTGTATTGAAGTTGGACAATAGTATATGCATATGTTATACACTGTGTATTATAACATCGTAGACCGAAGTTCGGCTTAAATATATGTAAAACAAGGGGAATTTAATTTACGTTTCCAGTTGAGGTAAATGAAGTGTTTCTATACGTTCTAGATATAATTACACCTATCAAATATTTCTAGGTTAAAAAAAAAACCTTTGAATTCTTAGAAATAAAACTGTAGTACCTGTCACATATTTTATAAGGATTGACTTTCAACTCTGTCTTGGAATATGGAGGAGTGGCAATAACATTGCTATACATTTTGTTTTCAGGATAGGAAGGTCTCTCATTTATTTTAAAAGGCTAGTCAGGATTTCAGAATTTTCTAGAGCCTAAGTATAAAAATCTGTAGCTCTAACCTGAATTCTGGGTTGCAAGAATATGTCTAGAGGAAGAATACTCAAAGTGTGACTCAGTTTCCTACATGACTACATGATAAGTTCAGATATTAAGATTAACATTTTAGAAACATTGATAGCTATTTGACATTACTGCAACAACCTAAGAACATGATCACTTTTCTAACCACTTGGTTTTATCGTATTTTACAAATACTGGTCTGCAATGGATGGGAATTAAAATGACACCACCACCACCACCACCACCACGTAGTCCTTCACCACAAAGAGTTTGAGAATCACCGTGTAGAACTGAACTTCATAAGACAAGAACACAGCCAGATACAGGGAATCCTCTTTCTACTGCAGGAACAGCTGGTTGGATGTGGTCCAGGTTGTACTGAAAAGCTTTGGGTGATATTAGAGCCAGACATGAACGTCCATTTCTGAAAAAAAATAAAAGCATGAAGCTCACTAGTTATATTTGCATCCCACCTAACCATGAACATTTTTTACAGAATTGTTTTATAAATAAAACCAGCATCTGTTCTGACCTGTAGCATTTGTTTTTAGTAGGAGCACATTTTTTTACTTTGCTTTGTCCAAACAAGCAGAGGCCAGGCAAGAGGAACTTTGCATACCCAAGAGAAGACTGCTTTTTACTCTTGAGAATGAGTATCAATAGGGTAAGAAGGTTCAAGTGGTGCAGTCATGTGGAGTAGAGGACAAAGGCCCAGACAAGATTCTTGGGGTTTCGGAATGGCTCTTTTACTCAATAGCTCTATGGGCCTCAGTTTCCTCATCTGTGAAATGAGTGTGACGATACCCCTTAATTTCAAAAGGAGGTAGTGAAGATTAAGTGAATTACAGATTGAGAATTCCTAATCTTAAAATTCAAAATCTGAAATGCTCCAAAATCCAAAACGTTTTGAACACTGACATGATGCTACAAGTGGAAAATTTCACATAGAAGTAATTAACACAAACTTTGTTTTATGCACACAATTATTAAAAATATTGTATAAAATTACCTTCAGATTATATATATAAAGTATATATGAAATGTAAATGAATAGTGTGTTTAGACTTGGGTCTAATCCCCAAGATACCTCCTTATGCATCTACAAATATTCCTGAATCTAACAAAATCTCAAATCCAAAACACTTCTGGTCTCAAGCATTTCTGATAAAGTTTACTCAGTCTGCATATGCTATATCAGAATGCTTACAGCAGCACCTGGCACATAATAATTGCTAGGTAAGGGAGACCTCTTACTATAAATCACAGCAACTACTCCTGGCAAGCTAATGAGTCTTCTAAAACAGTCACACTGCTTTTTAGTATTCCATGTGCTAAATTTAATTGGTTAATTCCAAGACCGTGTGCTTCTCAGTTTGAAAGAAGACATTATTTAACATCAACATGGGTGGTTTGCTAGATGGACAGATTGAAATGAATGCCCAGGCTCTGCTTCAGCAGGGTTACATTTAAAAGAAACACCCTGAGGGAAGCTGTGTTGATGGAGTAATACAAGTCAGGGCAACCTCAATTCTTCTCTTACCCTTTCTTAGTGCTAGGGCCGTCTAACTCATTCTGGAATAAAGCAGAGCTCCTTTGTAAATATCTCCTTCTCAGGACCCCGAGTTCACACATCAGTTCATACCTGTACATTTCAATGGCCCTTTCCGATGAGGAGCAAAATCATATTAATCTCACATAAAATCACCTAATTTAGATTTCCTTGTTTCATATTTAAAATACTGCTTTTAAAGCTTAGCAATATCTTAGCAACAGCTGCTTCTGGGTTCAACTCGAGGCTTTCTAGGGCTTATTCCATGATTTATGGGTTCCTTCCTTCATCCAGAAAGAGACAGCATCGCCCTTTGCCTGCTGGCATTTTACCCAGCACTTGAAAAGTAACTCCAGCTGTCCTGGTCTTGTGACTCCCTTAAACCCGTTTGAGTCAGTTCTTACATCCTAGCACTTTTCCAGCCATGATTAAGTTCTTTAAATGGCCCGGTGATGGGCCAGCTCCTCACTCCTGGAGCACAGACAGAAAGTTTTGTGGTTTTAGCACTGAGAACATGTGGTTTCTAGTCCAGACGATTCTTTTCGAGGTGGCAGAGTTCACACAGCCGCCACATGGCGCCCTGCACTCACTTGTGCGATGTCAAACCCACTGCTCCTTTTCTTTTTTGTGGGGACAGCCTTTTAGACACAGAGTGATGGTGATTCTAGATTGAGGAAGACAACTCCTTTCAGAAACAAAAAAGCTGCACCATTTTTTAGTGTTAGTGGTAAATATGCTTCAGCTCAAGAAAACTTGGCTTTAATGTGTGGTTCTGTTGCTCTTGGCTAGGGTCCATCCTTTCTAACTGAAAGAAGAAAATGCTGGGGTCTGATTATCTCTGAAGGAGGAAAGAATGGAAGGCTGACTTTGCAAGCGGATACTTAAGTAAAACAAAAAATGATAAGCAGCAGGCTGGATTATAGAATGAACTCTCCCAATCCATAAACACCTGCTATCTAAACAGGCCATTATTCTCTCTTCTGGATACTTTACAAATGCCAAGAAGATGTTGAGAGAAGAATATTCCTTAGAGCTTAAGAGCATCAAATTTAAACCTTCTGTATTAGTGATTATAAACTAAGGGTTACTATGATGGGAATTTCAGGGAGAAATGCTTTTTTGCACGAATGCCTTTTCTTTTCTTCTCACTCTCAAAGCACATCTCTTTGCTTTTGATTGTTTCAAAATGTGTAAAGTTATGCTTCATTAGCAAATCAGTGGAAACAGGTCTCACTAAGACTGTGGTGCTTTGCTTTTTTGTTCAGATTATGGTGCCTGGAAGCCAGAACAATCTCCTTCTGAAGCCTCTGCTTCCTGATACTGAATACAAAGTCACAGTGACTCCCATCTACACAGATGGAGAAGGCGTCAGTGTCTCTGCTCCTGGAAAAACCTGTAAGTGAAGCTTTCTCCCTTTGGCTATAAGCTGACTTGTCCCCTGTAATGCACCCTGAAAGATACAGTAGATTGCAGTGAAGAAACTAAAAGATTTGGAAACAGGAAATCTGTCTGCATCCTGTCTTTACATACACAAGCTATGTGACTCTGAGCAAATTGCTTAAATGTTCTGGGCTGCAGTTTCCTTTTCTGTGGTAGTGAAGACTTGAAAAACCACTACATCTTTCTCTTCCAGAGTTTAATTCATCAAGGTCCTGTTGATTCATCACAATGTATTCTGAGTGCCTAATTTCTCTTCACCTAACAGGTGTGCTCTAGTCCAAGCCACACTCTCTCTTTTATTTTTATTTTATTTAATTAATATACTTCTATTTCCATAGGTTTTTGGGGAACAGGTGGTATTTGGTTACATGAGTAATTTCTTTAGTGGTGATTTGTGAGATTTTGGTGCACTCATCACCTGAGCAGTATACACTGAACCCAATTGGTAGTCTCTTATCCCTCATCCCCTTCCCACCCGATCCCCTGGAGTCCCCAAAGCCCATTGTATCCTTCTTATGCCTTTGCATCTTCATAGTTTAGCTCCCACTTATAAGCGAGAACATACAATGTTTGGTTTTCCATTTCTGAGTTACTTCACTTAAAATAAGTCTCCAGTCTCATCCGGGTTGCTGAAAATGCCATTAATTCATTCCCTTTTATGCAAGCCACACTCTCTCTCATCCAGATGCATGTACTAGCCTCCTGTCAGATCTTCCTGCTTCTACTCATGCCATCTCCTATTCTTCTCATAGCAGCTTGAGGAGGTTTTCAGCAGATAAATGATCTGCACCGCTGTTCTAAGCCTCCCAATGGCTTCTCATTATACCAAGGATAAAATCCTACGTCCTTCTGTGCCTTACAAAGATGAACCTACCACCTGGATCCTGCTGATCTGTTTGATCTCCCCTCCTGGCCATTTCCCCAGTCATACCTCCCCTTCTGCCCTCCACTGGACTCTTTGAAGTTGTTCCTGCCCTAGGCCCCATGCCCTAGCAATTCCTTCTACATGGACTATGCTTTCCCAGATGTTTGCATGTCAGAATTTTTCCGGTCATCCTGGTCTAAGCTCAACATCACCTCCTCAGCTTTTACTGGCCACCCCATGCAAAGTAGCCCCCACTGTCTGTGATACTATCATTTTTTGTTTGTTGCTTTTGGTCATATCATGGCACTAATTACTCTCTGGTGTTTTCTTATTTATTCATGTATTTGCTCACTGTCTGTCTCCCATCCCTGGAAGGCAAGCACCGTGAGAGCTTGGGGCCTCATCAATACTGTTCACTTCTGCATGCCAAGCTCCTATGGTGCTGTGTGGCACAGAGGAGGCATCACGCAACACTTGTTTAAGAAGGATTGACCATGGTCCTCAAATGAGAAAGATGCATGAAAACCCTTGGTTAAAGCGTTACAGAGTCTTAGTTGTCTTCATTGTTGATCTGATTGTCTATTCTTGCATAAAGACTGCTCTAGAACTTAATGGTTTAAAACAGTGACCTTTTTTTTTTTTTTTTAATCACATCTCACAATTGTGTGGGTCAGGAAATTGGGCAGGACTTGCCGGGAAATTCTGCTCCACATGGGATTGATCCATGTCACCCGGTGGTATTCGCTTGAGGGCTGGGCTGGTGTGGAGAGTACAGGACAACTTTACCCACATGTCTGGCATCTTGGTGAGGGTGACAAGCAGCCTGGACCCAGCTGAGTCCCTCTCTCTCTCCATTAGTCTCAGAGCTTCTCCATGTGGTCTTTCCAGCAAAGCAGTCATATTTCTTACATGTCACCTCAGGACTGTAACAGCAAGAGTTCCAAGAGGCATAAAATGGAAACTGCTAGTGTATCTTCTGCTGCAGACTATTTATTGGTCTCGGTAGTCATAGAACCCACCCAGATTCAAAGAAACAGTCATAGCCCCACCTGTCAGTGGAAGGAGGGTCAAAAACTCTGTGACCATCTTTATCCGTCATAATTACCAATGGTGACATGTGGTTAGGTTCTAAATGGTGTCAAGGGCTGAATTCTGTACCTGGGCACCGAAGTGTGGAGTTTTCAACTAAGTTTGTGAAAATCGTTAAAATTCTGAAGCCCGGAGTCCTGATTCTACTCAGCTAGGCAAATAAGTATCATCTCCTCGTTTAACAGTGCTGGCATCACTCCCTCCTCCCATGCTTATGCCATGTGCCTCCATCCAGACTCCCACCAAGCCTGCACATGTTGCTAAACATCACCCAGAGTATTATGAGTCCTCAGAGCTGCTATAGTTGTTTCCTCAGGGGACATGAGGAAGGACAGAAGGAAAACAGAAGAGCAGAGCTATAGGGAGATTTCAAACTTTTCACTCCACCTTTACCGGTATATTGGCCTCTTGATTTGGTCTATGCACTGGAATTTCTAGCACATGTTGGTATGTTGCTGCTGAATAAATGTTTGAAAACCAAAACCACAGACTTAAGCAACAATTAAAGAAAACATCAAGTAGTATTTTACCTAGCAAGGTAAATACTTGCTATTATTTATTTATCTTTAAATAAAAATTATTTAAAGATTATTAGTATGAAATTAGGGCCTAAATCTTATTACAGAAATGCCATTACATCTTAACAATCTCTATATAGTGAAATTATTTTGAAGTATTAGTGGATGATCTAAGCATGATTAAGCAGTGGCCGACACAACTAAGTTTTATCAATAACAAAATGATAATGACAAAATGCATACAAATTTATAATAGTGCTCCATATAAATGACTGTAATGTTTTGATAAAAAATGGATAAGTAATAATATAAAACTTCAAACAATATAGGAAATATGAAGATGAAAGCAAAAAAAAATCAGAAACTTACCTCTGAGAATAATCACCATTAACATTCTATGAACACGCCCCCAATATTGCTATTCACGTATACTTAGTGGAACAGAGTGGCATGGAGACAGACATTTCTAATAAACATGATTGAATTCAATTATACCTAAAATTTACTGATGAAAGGGGAATCAAAATAACAATGAAAGACTTCTACATTTCAGATAAAAGTGTTTTATCCTGAGAGCAGTTATTTCCCATATATTTAATATTGAAGGCCAGGCGTGGTGGCTCACGCCTGTAATCCCAGCACTTTGGGAGGCCAAGGCGGGTGGATCACAAGGTCAGGAGATCAAGACCATCCTGGCTAACACGATGAAACCCCGTCTCTACTAAAAATACAAAAAATTAGCCAGATGTGGTGGCAGGTGCCTATAGTCCCAGCTACTTGGGAGGCTGAGGCAAAATAATTGCTTGAATCCAGGAGGTGGAGGTTGCAGTGAGTGGGGATCATGCCACTGCACTCCAGCCTGGGTGAAGGAGTGAGACTCTGTCTCAAAAAAACAAACAAACAAACAAACAAAAAACAACCACAGACTCTCAAAGGCTTCTCATTGTGTGTTTCAGTGCACTTTCACTTTTAAATATTTTTAATTTTGTGGGAAGATGTCTTATATTTTGGTGGCAACAGTGTGGGACATACAGAAGGAAATTACACTGAATCCCTGTTTTTCCTTTTCTTTTCTGCTCAGTGCCGTCCTCAGCGCCCCAGAACTTGCGGGTGTCCGAGGAATGGTATAACCGGTTGCGCATTACGTGGGACCCCCCGTCTTCCCCAGTGAAAGGCTATAGAATTGTCTACAAACCTGTCAGTGGTAAGTAAGGCTTTGTAAATAATATTGATACCATGAGTAGTCACTTAAAATGTCTTTTAAGATAAATTGTTTTCTGATAACACTTTATGTTTGGTTGTATTTTTTAAAGAAGTAGGGAGAAACTCTTACTTGTTTTGGAAAAATAAAGTGTTTTAGTATGGTTAGTGATAAGGTAGATATTATCAGGATGATGAAGCTATGACATGACATAAAAAACTACTGGGCACATCAATTAGAAGAATGTGTATTGGGTATATGCTTGACCTAATTATACCCTAGACCAGGAACCAATCTAAGGAGACCTTGACTTTATAGGAAGCTTTTATGCTCAATGAACATGTAAGTTCTAAACATTTGGAATTTCTGATTTCAAAGTTCTCCTCTACCTCTTACTTCTTGGATTAGTTGGAAAAATTTCATTTACCAACTTCTTAGTCTCCCCAGTTTGGAAATGATATGGGCGGGGGGAGGAGACTCATCACAGTAGTAAAATGCTTTTCCACCAGTCTCTTAGCCACCTCCATAAGAGGATCCCTCTCACCTCTACTTCCCACATCATTGTATCTTGAAGGCATGAAAATGATCGGAGTAGAAAGCAATTGCACCCTTGGTCTGTATGCCTGTGAAGAGAAGACTGTGTGCACCAGCACCTCTTACAGTGCCATCTCTCCATTCTTAGCAATCTCACGAAGTTTAAACAGGAGACTAGAATTGATGTTATTAGGGTCTTCTCAGTTTTCTAGACCTGGGCCTGCAGTACTCTAGTTGTTCAGCAGAAAGGACATCTCCAATCATTTTTCTTAATTTGGCAGGAAAATTTTAAAAACATTCTTAGGGTCATGAAAACATTTTCTGCTATCTGGGTGTGGTGGCTCATGCCTATATTCTCAGCCCTTTGGGAGGCTGAGGAGGGTGGATTGCTTGAGTCCAGGAGTTTGAGACCAGCCTGGGCAACATAGTGTGACCCTGTCTCTACAAAAAATACAAAAATTAGCCACGTGTGGTGGCATGCACCCATAGTCCCAGCTACCTGGGAGGTTGAGGTAGGAAAATTGCCTGAGCCCGATAAGTCAAGGCTACAGTGAGCTGTGATCACACCACTCCAGCCTGGGCAACAGAGCAAGACCCTGTCTCAAAAAATAAAAATAGAATGTAAGCCCTTTCTGCCTTCAAAAACTCCATTAGTCTCAATTTTTCATCTGAGATGTCGTTCTCGCCCCATATCAATTTTCAGCCTTTTCTATTGTGTCCCATTATCCATGTGCTATTGTCTTCAGGCCCATAAGACTGAAATACTCCCACCTCCAGTTTCTGCAGACAAGCATCCTTATAACCAGGAAAATAAAATAGCAAGACTAGAACATGGATGCATGAGCCTGGTCCAGGCTCATTCTTTGGGACGCATCACCAGTGTTTTTGTCTCTTTGCTTTAGGCCTGAAGCATGCGTTAATTTGTAAGACAGCCTTGCTTAATTTGTTCTTTGGATCATTTTACAAATATTGATCAGGCTTTCTAAGCACAAAAGGCTTTATTTTAGACCAGTGGTTCTCAGTTGATGTCATTTGCCCCCCAACGGAGACATTTTTTATTGTTACAACTGGTGAGGGAGGACTTGCTCCTGGAATCTAATGGGTACTGGTAAACATGCTACCATTGACAGTACTCCTCTGCCCCAGAGTAAAGAATTTTTCAGTTCCAGATACCAGCAGTGCTGAGGCTGAGAAATCCTGTTTTAGGTCAAGTGGGAGAAATATACATGTATGGTCATTTGCACTGTACGTGTGGGGCATGGGACCGTCGCTACTGAGTTAACACATACATAGAGAAACATATAAATGTATTGTTGGAAGGGGCCTTCTGGAGGAAAGTGATGAGTATTTTGAGAACATGTCACTAACTCAAAGCTCTTAAAGAATGAGCATGCATGGGAAAAGGCAGGAGGTAAATAAATTTGTATAGGCTTTAGCAACGAATGTTTTTAAGGCTTCATTAAAGACCCCACTAGATTGAAGAAGAGGTGAAAACATAAAGGCCTGAAAATGCTAGCTAATCAAGGGCCTTGGAATAAGAGCGTAATCTGTCTGGTATTAAACATCCTGAAAGGAGTAGATAAAACTAAAGTGGTAACATTGATGCTGGTTCAGAGTGTGGCAAGGTTTGGCCTGGTCTCCATGATAAAATTTGCTGTGACTGCCGCTTGCGTGTCTGCTGGGAACAAAGTTGGTTACCTTAGAAGGGACAATTGAGAATTATTTCTTTAATTGGACAAATTCCTCAATTGCCTATCACGACATAGTACATAACAATATAGCAGATGGTAGACTATGAGGTGGACCAACTTCTTTGAATAAGCACAAGGATAAAACTATATTTGGGGAAAGGACTAGGTCCCTAAAAATAACCTTTAGTGCAGCAGTTTTTAGAGCTAGATGAGACCAGATTGAAACCCCAACCCTGCTGTCTGCTTGCTGTGTAATCCTAGGCAACTGAAAAGCAGTCAAGTGAGTACAATTTGATCTAACAGTGCTTCTATTTTCCCATATTTTGTTGTAACTAAAATATATCGTCTTTCTTCTTTAGTTCCTGGTCCAACACTGGAAACATTTGTGGGAGCTGACATTAACACCATTCTTATCACAAATCTCCTCAGTGGAATGGATTACAATGTGAAGATATTTGCCTCCCAGGCCTCAGGCTTCAGCGACGCCCTGACAGGCATGGTGAAAACATGTAAGAGCCGTCTCCAGTGGCCTCAACCGTACATGGGTTTTGCTCTGTTTTGTTTTTTGAGATGGAATCTCTCTCTGTCGCCCAGGCTGGAGTGTGGTGGTGCGATCTCGGCTCACTGCAACATCCGCCTCCAGGGTTTAAGTAATTCTCCTGCCTCAGCTTCCCGAGTATCTGGGATTACAGGCACATGCCACCACGCCCAGTTAATTTTCGTATTTTTAGTAGAGATGGGGTTCACCATGTTGGCCAGGATGGTCTCCATCTCTTCACCTCGTGATTCAACCTCCTCAGCCTCCCAAGCACACGGGGTTTTGCTGTTTTGTTTTCACTGTAACTTGTCACTCAACCCCTGCTTCCATTTGGTCATTCATTTTTCTTTTCCTCCATGTTGCCCTTTCTGGATGGTGTTTCAGGGAAAGAAAGGTGTGCTGTATATTCGGGGTAGTTCAGAGTCCCAGTTGACAGGCGGGATGTCAGTACCTGGCTTTCAAATAGGCTTGATGATTGCAGATAGGATTTCCTTCTGGAAAATCTGTGTTGGCATTTTTCAGATTAGGTGAAATTTTCCAAACAGCCTGTAGCCCGAGATGGCCAATATCAAAGTTGGAGCAGAAGGAGGTTTGTCTTTTCTCAGAGGGGTCACTCCACCCCCTTGCACATGCACACATGCCATCCATCAAAAGTACATGCCACCCCATTCTCAGCACTTCCTTCTCTACTCCTTTGAGGGTTTTCGTGTTGTCTGCACACCATCTGGGACTTCCCATTGACGTACACCACTCCCAGACACCCACGCATTAATCAGTGTTTTCCAAATTCCAGCATGTACGTTCCATATTCCTGAAGTTTGTTATACCTCTGCACGATCTGTTTATTTATTTGAATTGACTTACAGTTTTTGACCTAAATACTTCTCAAAATCCATGTAATTACCCTAAACAGAAAATTAGTATTTTTATTTTTTAATATATTAAAAAAAATTTCTGCTCTACTAGCTTTTTAGTTAAATATTCTAAATTTTCATAGCTACCCTAGAGTTTTCAATGTGAATCCTCAGCTTATTCCAGTCTACCTTAAATTACTGCTTTTTGGCTTAAGAATTTTTTACCGATGTATAATACCATCTTCGTTTTTGCTACTCTTTTTCTATCTGTTTTGTAATTCTATTGTTATAAACCCCTCAAGATATTGTTGTTGTTTCAAATAATCACTATTCTTTCATTTTTTTTCTAGCTTTATTGAAGTATAATTGGCAAATAAAAATTGTATATGTTCAAGGTATAGATACACAGATCTGCAATCTTCAATGTGATGATTTATGTTTACAATGTGTAATGATCACCACAATCAAATAATTTTGATACATTTATTTTCTTTTTTGATAGTCAAATGACATCTTTATTGTTTTTTTATTTTATTTATTTTAAAAACTTCAATATCTCTTGGGATACAAGGGGTTTTTGGTTACATGGATAAATTCTCTAGTGGTGAATTCTGAGCTTTTACTGTACCCGTCACTGGAGCACTGTATACTGTCCCCAATCCATACTTTTTTATCCCTCACCCGCCTTCCAAACCTCCCCCTTTAGTCCCCAGAGTCCATTATATCACTCAAGATTTTTAATCACATTTTAAAATACACATTAAAGATAACACATAAATGACCAAAACACAAGTGGTTTGGCTATGTGCTAATAAAAATAGTCCTGAGTGCAATCAGCAACACATGCGCCACTCTTGAGATCGTAGTCATGTTATTATCGAAAGAATAAGCCTCAAATCTGCTACTTGTTAGCGTGACTTGGGCAAATTGCTTAACTTCCCTCAGCCCAGGCTTTTTCAATTCTAAAATGAAGATAATAATAACCATTGTTCAGGCAAATTGTGAGGATCGCAGAGAAAAAATGTATGTAACGCGTTTATGATGTGGCAAATGTTCAATGAATAACCACTACTATTATTGTAATTATTGGGCTTTATGCACTTGGCCTATATCTTACCCTCATCCCTAATAAATAATTAATCTAATCAATACTGTCAGGCAAAAGTGAGCCGTATATTAAGCCAGACCCCAGCATCCCCCAATTGCATGTAGGGTCAGCCCTTTTACAGAAGAGGTGTCCTGAATTCTCTGTCACGGAATATCTTGAGACCTTAAAGGCTAGCTAGTGAATAAATGTATCTTAAAAGAAATAGTCTCTATCTCCAACAGACCTAGGAAGCCTTTGGCTGTGGTTCTGATCTTGTGCTTGGCTATTGATGTGACACTGTTGTGGCTTCACTAATGAAACCTCCAAGTATTTCCTCTGTTTTGCTCCTGTAGCAACCTCACAGCCTTCCTTAGTTAAACCACAGCATCCCCTATAGCTGAGATTACAAGCATGCGCCACCGTGCCTGGCTAATTTTCTCTTTTTAGTAAAGACAGGGTTTCACCATGTTGGTCAAGCAGGTCTTGAACTGCTGACCTCAGGTGATCCACGTGACTTGGCCTCTCAAAGTGCTGGGATTACAGGACTGAGCCACCACGCCCAGCACTATGATTTTTTATTGGTCTCTCTTCTCCCCAGTCTTTCTTGTCTTTTTCCATCCTCTTTTCTCTGCTCCCTCTTCAATTTTATTTCCTCTTTCTTCTCTCCCTTAATAAATATATTGAGCATTCCAAACATCTTTTAAAAGACTGAGATTGTTGAATTGTTTTACATTCTTGTCCTTAAAATATAAATTAAGTGGGTTTATTATTTATTCTCTTTCTCCCAAGCAAAAGAAAACCTCCCACAATGGTAAATAAATTAATATAAGATATTTTAAAAATATTTTGTGTGATTATATAAATCATTAACATTCATAAAAGTTATGTAAATCAGGGCCGGGTACAGTGGCTCACGCCTGTAATCCCAGCACTTTGGGAAGCTGAGGCAGGTGGATCACCTGAGATTAGGAGTTTGAGAACAACCTGGCCAACATGGCGAAACCCTGCCTCTACTAAAAATGCAAAAGTTAGTCGGGTGTGGTGGTGGGCGCCTGTGATCCCAGCTACTCAGGAAGCTGAGGCAGGAGAATCGCCTGTACCTGGGAGGTGGAGGTTGTAGTGAGCTGAGATTGTGCTACTGCACTCCAGCCAGGGTGACAAGAGCAAGACTCCATCTCAAAAAACAAAACAAAAAAAATTATATAAATCAATTAACATTCATGTCATTTGTTTTTGTTAGAGGAAAGAGAGATTGTATAATTGGCTTTAGGAAAAAAGTCTTCTTTTCTTCTGTAACAGAAAGGAACAGTGTAAATGTACAAATTGTAGTTAAACAAGATTATTTTTACCATCTTGAAAAGATAATTTCAAGGTATTTTTATTTTGTGAGTAAGCTAAGAGAGAGAGAGAGAAATAATAGAAAATGATATGAATGGAAGTCAGAGGTCATTAGGAAAAGTAAATATGTTGATTTTCTGCTTGGATCCAAATGATAAACACTGGCTACCTACTTTTCTATTGTCTTGTAGAAACAATATTTTATTGCCTCCCCAGACAACCATTTTTGCATATCACAGTGTCTAAGATTAATAGGAACCTATGTATTTTTAAAATAATTTGTGTTATCTGTGTAAAATCTTTTATTTTTAAATTTTCAATAGTGTTTATTCAATCGTGTTTTGAAGACCAGTCTTTGTAAAACTGCTCCTGTTGGCAGAACACTTCCATTTTGACTATTTTACTCTTCCCTTTTTAAAGCCATGGCTGTCTCATTGGTTGATAAGTACATACTGTATTTACTTTTTTATTATACAAGTATTACATGTTTATTGTGTAATATTTAGAAAACACAAGTATATAAAGGGGGTAAGATTGAAAATTACCCAAAATTTCATCATCGTTTGCATCTGGTCTTTTTGCTATGACTACGTACTTCCTCTTCTGTTTAAAATGCAGACAGGGCCAGATATGGTGGCTCACACTTGTAATCCCAGCACTTTGGGAGGCTGAGGTAGGCAGGTGGCTTGAGCTCAGGAGTTTGAGACCAGCCTGAGCAACATGGCGAAACACTGCCTCTACAAAAAAAAAAAAAATTAGCTGCGTGTGATGGCACATGCCTGTGATCCCAACTACTCGGAAGGCTGAGGTGGGAGAATTGCTGGAGTCCAGGAGGTCAAGGTTACAGTGAGCTGAGATCATGCCATTGCACTGCAGCCCTACAGAGCAAGACCCCGTCTCAAAACGAACAAACAACAAACAAATAAGAAAAATAGCAGACAGACCACATCATGCATAATGTTTTGCAATCTGTTTTCTCAAGTCATAAAACAGTTATCTTTTGTACACTAACTCATTGTAAATTGATGGATTTCCCAGCTCTCTGAGTATGCAGCTTTGAATGAAAATTGTTCCAGAAGTTAATTTCAGATTCAGGGATGTTTGTGGTGTTCTCTGCAGTGTGATACAGTTATGTTTCCATTTCATTCCAGTGTTCTTGGGTGTTACAAACCTCCAAGCCAAACACGTTGAAATGACCAGCTTGTGTGCCCACTGGCAGGTACATCGCCATGCCACAGCCTATAGAGTTGTTATAGAATCCCTCCAGGGTAAGTACAATCCATCACTTATGTTTTTGTCAAGCATTTGTGTATTTGGTTCTTTGCACACCACTGTGTACAACACACAAGTGGCATTAGACAACAGCCCTCTTGTCGAGGAAGCAATTTGTACTGGTCAGTCATGCTGCATATGGAGTCTGACTGGTTGGGTAAGCGAATTACTAACCCTCTGCAAACCTCCCTTTTCCTTATCTGGTAATGGGTATAACCATAGTGCTGATTTTTTAGAGTTCTGTGAAGATAAAATTGAGATATTCCACAGGAAGCATTTGCAACAGTGCTCTGTGCACTGGAAGGACCCCAAAAATGTTAGCAGCCAGATAGCCAAGACTAGCATACATTAAAATTATATTGTGCTCTAATTTGGGTAATCACTCTCTAGGGATCAAGTTTAAATTTGATGTTTTTCTTAGTGTTTCTTTTTCTTTTGGGGATAACTGGTGAACAACAAACCCTCATTACAGAGATTTAATGTATCTATACCATCATGAACAAGTTCTTCGGCGTTACAGTTCTCACGTACATCCACAATTTGGGACTTTGTTCCAAATTGAAACAGTAAAAATGTCTCACTGTCTTCATTAAAAATATTGAGAACAATAATAAATGACTGATTACCCAAAAATGAGTATCTAGAGCCGGTTTATCATCTTTTCCCAATATCAGCATGGACACTATTCAGAAGATGAATCAAATAATATACTTAATCAGATTTATAGAAACAATAGAAAAGATATGTCTTGTTATTTTATGGGATTATAGGAGATGCTAAAGAATCCCAAATGATTTTTTAAAATCTTCCAAACTTGGGAGTAAAATTGTTAAAAATGTAGCCTATTCTTTCTGGACAAATGATCTTGGTTTTCCCATTTCTGAAAAGCAAAATGACCTAATTATTTCTAGTCCAGGTAAGGTTGGGTTTATTAGCCCATATTCCTGACTATAGATACATTCAAAATCCATAAATCCCATTTTTGATCCAATCCATAAAGTGGAAAGCGTACTTTAGGAGAGCACTGAGAGCATTTGGAAATATGTCCTTTGTAGAGTAAGAACTGAGATAGGTGGAACATACTAGAAGAAACTCCTGCGAATCCCAGGCAAGATATCATCATGATAGACATGCGGCACCACTGCTTCCTTAAATCCCTCTATGTGATGTAAGGATCCTTCCAGCCTGACATTGGCTTGACATTTGGGAGTGGTATTAATCTGGAATAAACGTTGAGGGAGAGAAAGTCAGGATAAGTCACATGGATTTTGTGGTTTTGTTAAATATGATTGATGGGATGCCAGAAGTAGATGAAGCACAGGCAGCAATTTGAGAAACAGCTATGAAATCTGGAGGAGTTATGTTTCCTATATTTCTATAAGTTACACTTTAATATAGAAGGGTTGACATTTAGTGGTATTTGCTAAGCCTAAGAAAAAATACTAAGTATAATAATAATCACCCTCCCAAACTAACCCACAATTCTTTTATGTGATTTATCCTTTTATATGATTTAGGAAATTGAAATGAAGGGACGTGGGTTCCTGTGGATATTCGTTTCCTTTCATAAAAATTTATAACTATATATGTTGACACAACAATGTATAAAAACTGGCTTTATCAATGGAATCAGTAATATTCGTAGCTTTTTAAATTAAATGCTTTTAGTTTAACATATTTGCAAAGCAGCCTTGAGAGTTTTATCAGAGGATATGATTGATTTGTCTGATAATACTGATCTGGTCATCTAAAACCACAATAAGCTCTTTCTGAAGCCAAGATCTTTGCTTGCAAGCAAATGAGTCCACATTTGCTTTTTATCTTCAACTTAAGTGAACTTGTACTCCCTCAGTATTATTTTCAGGCTGCCAGAAATGTTTTCAGCTGAACCTTTATGGTCTTAATTGAACAAGAATGAACAAAAGTATTGTTCAGTTTACTTATCATCAACATTTGTTGCTGAGAGATTAGACTTATGAAAAAAAATAGCCCACCTCTCATTCACCCAGTTGTCTTACTGAATATTATTTATCAGCTGGACAGCAAAAGATTCTAATTGACAACTTGAAAAGGAATGTTTGATGGAGGAGTGAGTGTGAGGGTGGCAGTAGGAAATGTGTTTAGATATTTTAACTCACACAATTCAGATCAAGGAATAGTCTTTCTACTTTGGAATAGAGAAGAATTAGGTTGAGTTTCATTATTTTACAGAGGAATGTGATCACCATCCTGATTCACTGCCTTTAAAGGACTTGTGGTAAGATGCCCATTCTTCCACGAGCAGATGAGTCTCAGACTCTCAGGTGTTTTGACTGTAATATTGGCTACATATGCTGTCTCTGTGGAAATTTCAGTCTTTCTACCCCAGGCAAAGGAGATACTAGGAATAAATGAGACCCAATTTCCCCATGTGTTGGAGTAAAGCTTTATCCCAGTTGACCTCTTTCTGAATGCCTCGGTCAAATCCTTACAGTTTGATGGGTAATTTTTTCCAGTTTTTTTCCACATTTTTTCATAGCTTGAGCATGTGCATTTTTATTCTGAGATTAAGTCAGTGATGAAGTCTCCACTGTAACCACAACCGCTGGTCAACTTTCTTCTCTGGGCTTCAGCTTCTGTAAAATTATTTCATTTGCGTCTATTAACTGAGGCAATAATTGCAAATTTGCAAGGTTTTGTAAGTAGAATAGCCACACTGTATCATTCAGGCTTGTTTATTAATATTCACAGAAATCTAGATAAACTTAAGCCAAAGGGTCCATTTATTGGCTAGTATACTAAGAAGTCCAAAGTCTCTGGCTTTAGGCACATCTGGACCTAGGTGTTCAATGTTCTAGAGATAAAGTCTTGCTCCTTCTTGTATTTTGCTTTCCTCTGCCTTCATTTTCAGTCAGGCTCAGTGAGTCAGATCCAGAATTACATTCTCCCAGCTTCCAGCTTTAACAGTCTTGGTGAAAAGAGAGCTTCTCTTTCTCAATAGTTCCAACAGAAGTCCAGGAACTGAGTCATATTGGCCTGGTTTGGGTCATATGCCTCTAAATCTGTCATTGAGTGCAAGGGCATGAAATAAACTGCCTGTTTGGACCTGGTTGCCTTCCACCCCTGTATCTGGTGGTGGTGGCAGGAGGTAGGGGTGTTATTCAATCCTCCCCAAACCATAAAGACCAAGAGTGTGGAGGAATGGATGCAAAGAAAGAGATTTCAGATACAAGACAGGCAAAAGCAACAGATGTCCTTTACCCATGTAAATATTATGACATTTTTATGACCAAGAAAAGAAAGATTACCAGAAGGACAAGGTCTTCTCAAGAAAGACTGAAACAAAATCTGCTTTTGACTCAGTCATCCATTTGCCAAATTAAATGATAGATTTTTGGTTAATTCTAGGACAGTCCAAAGTGAGAGATTTTCGGTTGGTCTTGGGTAATTCAGAGCCCTGTGAGATCCTCCATTAGTTCTGCAGATGCTCCGGGATTTTATCCCTCTCTTCAGCTGTTTTTGAGTTGCCTTGGCACCTAAGGTGGCCTTCAAATGCATTTATTTATTAATATATGCCACATAGGCCCAAACGCTTTATTCCCACCCTAATCCCCACAGCTTGATGAACTTCTTTGTAACCTGCTTAGATCAGGGTTCAGAGAATGCTCCACTTGTCCCTATTTAGGTGCTGAGATGTCAGCTTTGCAGTATTATTTATTGAAAAGGATAGAGAATTGCAGCATAATGGAGAGCCTACCTTACCAAAGACCAGGTCCACAAAAAAACGCCATATGGAACAAAACCTATGATCAAAATTAAACTTTTTGGAGCAGTGACGTTATGATATTCTTTGCTTGTGGAGCTCAATAACTACTTATAGGACATTTTGGTAAGTCAAGCTGGTGGCGTTATTATCAACATGATCATAATCTGGAGAATGGATTTAGTCTTGCTTCCTAAGAATGGTGGACAAATAAAGACAGATTTTTTTCCTCTGTTTCAAAAAATAAAATTTACTTCCTGCTTTTGGCATGAGGGGTTGAGGAAATTAGTCACCATTTGGTCAGTTTGAATGTTTTCCTTAAGGCAAAGCCAATAGGCCTGAATTGCATATGCCAAAAGCAACATGGATACACCCCCATTCATGGAACCCCTCTTTGTTAGTATTGGGAACCAAATTGATACTCTTTGCCATTAATCTTATAGTGCTTGTTCCAGTTTTCCAATGTTTATAGCTGTATTATTTTAGCAGTAAGATCTACTTATATTCTATTTTCAAGGGTCTTTAAAGTACATGGGTTTCTACATGAAATAGGAAATGTGACAGAAAAGCGCATTTCTGGAATTGACTCATGGAGAGTCCTCGGAAGGTTTGTGGAGGTAGATCAGTGTGATCCATGCATAACATTCAGGAAATGTTTGTATTACAGGTGGCCCACAGAAGCTTTTAGGAGGCTCTAACGGATAGCTAAGGGTTAAACAAAACAAAACAAAACAAAAAAACAGTTGTTGTGGGATTCTGAGCCTGGAAACCACAGACTAAACTTGGACCTAAGCAAAGCAAAACACTGAGTTCACTAAATTTTACTGTCAAACCCATTTCACATAATTTATAATCTCACAAACACTTTAACAATTTTTAAATGTTATCATTTTTCATAATATATGAACAAGAAATGATTAAAGTTGACACTATTTTACTTTGAACAAATATATTAATAAAAATTCTATTATAAAGTTCACTTCTGAAACTCTCTAATATTCACAATATATAAAAATAAATTTAAAATTCTATTTAACAAATGGCTTTAATTCAATTATATTTTTAAAAGTCTATATTTGTCCATAGACAAAATTTAAATAACTATATCATGTTTATTCTGATATATGCATATTATAATATACATATATGTGCTTCAATATATGCATATCAAAATATAGTTGGAAATTTAACTAGGTTTGATACTTATAAAATAGACAAAAATTGTGTAAAATGTTTGCATTTTGTAGTTGAAAAAGCAACTGGTATGCTTTTATATTTTCTAGATTCTGTTTATTCTTCATAAACTGCTCTGCAAATAACATTTTGAAGGAGTGGATAGTTCTTTTTAACCACTAAATAATGTGTGTAATATATTTAATCGGTGCTGTTTTTCAACACTAGTTTTTCAATCCCTAGAAATAAAGCTTTATGAAGCTTTGATTAAACACATGCAATTTATGGATAAGATGATCAATCTAGAGGGAAATTTGAATAATTGTTTTTTCACGGTAGCAATGATTCCTCCTCTTAATCAGTTGTCCATTGTGGTAAAAACAACAACAACAATGCTCTATGCCTGTGAGGAAAACACTTGAAACTCTTCAGTAATGAAAGCCGCCCAAGTAGGCTCTGGGGAGTGATAAAGCACTGAGTCATAAAGATTCCTCATCTGATCTCTAGCCGTCATGTTCGCACATTTCATATGCACTCAACAGCTCTCAGATGGTTTCATTTTGGAAAACTATTGATTTCATTTACATTTGCTTAGAATATACCAGTGGAAATTAAAGCAACATCCTCTGAAACTGAGCTTTAGAGTTCTGAATTCAGGGGAATGAGCAGAAGTGGGTCAAGGGGTAGAATAATACGCTTAGGTAGAAGGAGTAAGTTTTAGTATTTGATAGTACTATAGTAGGGAATAGTAGGGAAATAATACTTAACAATAATTGTATATTTCAAAATAGCTGGAAAAAAAAGAATTGTAATATTCCCAACACAAAGGAAAGATAAATGTTTGAAGTGGTGGATATTCCAATTACCTGATTAGATCATTATACATCGTATAGAGGTATGAAAATATCACACAAACCCCCAAAATATGTACAACTATTATCTACCAGTTTAAGCAATCTCAGTTCTGCTAATTAGAATAAGGACATGAAGAAGTTATTAACTTTTCTGACCTTTAGTTTCATCTCTTTAAATTGGGAATAATTATAAATGTTATAAGAATCAAACGAGATAATGCATATGAATTCCTTAGAATATTGCCTGGCACGTGATAAGCACTCATTAAATGTTGGCTGTTATTATCTTTATTGCTGTTGTTATAATTAAATAGCAGGCACAGAACCTGGATATAATAAACCCTCAAGAAATGATGAATGTAATTAATCCATATTCCTGTCTCAGGACCTAAGGGCCAGCACTAGTTCTTCCAGGAGATGCACATAATTTTGCTATGGACATGGGAACAAAGAAAGGAGCCAATAGTTAGTCAGGTCTCCAGAGTTCTTTGTGCCTCTGTCATGGTGGAGAAAAAGACAGAGGAGGTGCCATGTGAATTGGCTGTGTATGACATGTCTCCTTGGTCGATAAAAAAAGAACCAGAAATTGAGAGACTGAGTTCTACAGCATATATGGCCCTATGCTATGTAAACACCATGTCCTTTTTCCTCAATTAAAGGATTTTCAGAGTGGATGCCGGGAATTTGAAGAGGCCCCTCTGAACTCCCTGGGAATGTCTTTTGCGATTGAAGGAAATCATTGGTGTCAGTTAAAAGTCAAGGCTGAGAGGGAGATACTGGGCAGTGTGAAGACTCCTTGGTGATCCCAGTGCTGCTGCAAGCTCTTGCCTGCAGTTGTGGCAGCTTTGAAGACAACCTGGACCCATGGACCAGGGCTTCTGAGATCCATACCTGTATCTTTAGACCACTGCCTAGAAGGGTATCCTCTTGGGTGGTAATAAGTTATATGAGACCAAAAGGAAGTATCTGTTTATGTTATATAACATTGGACTGTGTTCAGAAAATCATACTGAATAAAAGGGAGTTCAGGTTTTAAAAAAATAGGCCAGGGATGGTGTCTCATGCCTGTAATCCAAGCACTTTCAGAGGCCAAGGCAGGTGGATCACCTAAGGTCAGGAATTCAAGACCAGCCTGGCTAACATGGTGAAACTCCACCTCTACTAAAAACACAAAAATTAGCCGGGCATGGTGGTGCACGCCTGTAGTTCCAGCTACTCAGGAGGCTGAGTCAGGAGAATTGCTTGAACCCGGGAGGCGGAGGTTGCAATGAGCTGAGATCGCGCCATTGCAATCCAGCCTGGATGACAGAACAAGACTCCATCTCAAAAAAAAAAAAAAAAGAAAAAAGAGAAAAAAACATGCCCTCACATCTGCACCTGTCCAAAAGATCAGTTAGGATGTGTGCATATAATTACATGCATTAATAGTTCTCCATTAAGTACAGAGTTGATCTCAGAAGTCTTTTAATAGTAAACATCATTTGTTGACATACAAAATGTGATTTTTCATAGAAAAATACCAGTGAGTGTATTAACTCTTTGGAAGAAGATACAATACTTCAAACAAATATAACTCATTCTGGCTTTATCTGATGTGGGCTACACATGTGAAGTATTTTAGAAGCAAATCATCTGCCAATGGCTATGTTTCAAAAATTTCATATGCGTATGTGTTTGTTTTGTTTTGTTTTGTTTTTATTATAGATACAAAAAAGCAAGAATCAACTGTGGGTGGAGGTACAACCAGGCATTGCTTCTATGGACTTCAGCCTGATTCTGAATATAAAATCAGTGTTTATACAAAGCTCCAGGAGATTGAAGGACCTAGTGTGAGCATAATGGAAAAAACACGTAAGTCGTGTGTGTTCTCTCCTGATCCCTCTCCCCATGAACAAACAGAATTTTAGGCATCCTGTTTTGAAAATACCTTATCCCGTTTAGAAAAATATTAGCTATTGCTGTTCAGGAATATACATAATACAAGTTTTGTTCCTCTTACTCAGTCCCAGAATTCATTGCCTATGGCCCACTGATGTCATCAGTATGGGTTTTTTATTTCCATTCTCCATATATGTTTCACAAGAGACTAGAAGTCCACACGATAGTAAAGCAATTGAGACAATGACTTACATTGTGATCCAGATCCATAAGGAACTGTTGTGGTATGTGGAGTGTCAAATGCAGTTTGAGGACTTGGCTCTGACATTAAAACAATGGCATATTACCACAGCCATGAGGATGGGAAGGGAGCCAAGATGTTCCAACTAGCTGACCCTAGAGTTACTGCTTGCCTAAGAAGCTCTTGCACTTTTTCCAAGCTGACTGCAGATGTGATGCACTAAAGGGAAAGGCAAAGTATAAAATTAAAACAAACCTCTTTTAACATGTTCCAAAGAGCAAGGAGAGTGTCAACTTCTTGAAAAGACTTGTAGTCAAAGATTCTTGACCCTGGGTGCACAAACATTAAAATGGTTTGAAATGTAGTGAATTCTGGGGCACGTTTGTGTGCTTAACTCAGTATCTTGAATTTAAACTTGAAATTCCAGGAGGATTTGTGTCTGAATAGGTGTTGGGCAATGGGCTTTCTTGGTGACCCCTCTATCACGTACATGGCATTTAGAAGGAATTACTGCCTGCGTATAGCTCTTTTAGCCTCTCCGGCACTTGCAGAGAGAAATCATGCACGTGTAACCTTCAAAAAGAGAGGATAAAAGTATAATAAATCATCTTCTTTTATGTAATACAAAGACTTTATTTCAGGACACTTAAATATGCAATTTTTCATATTCCACTTGTATTTTTGAGGTATAATTTACATAACATAAAATTTAAGTACCATTTTAAGTGTGCAGTTCAATGATTTTTAGTACATGTAATGAGTTGTATCACTATCCCTACAATTAAATTTCAGGACATTTCCATCAACCCAAAGAACCTTTCCTGCTGTTTGCAGTCAATCTCCTTTCTCACCCTGAGCTTCAGGCAATCTACTTTCTTTTATTATACATTTTCCTTTTCTGGACATTTCACGTAAGTGGAAATACACCATATGTAGTCTTTTGCATCTGGCATCTTTCACTTAGCGTATGTTTTTGTGGTTTATCCATGTTATAGATTTTGTCAGTGGTTTGTTTCTTTTTATTGCTGATTAGAATTCCATCTTATGGATTGTAAATCATATAGTTTTGAAGTTAATAGGAACTTGGTAGTACACAAGACTTAGAGTCAAATGGTTGGTTTGAGGATCATGTTCTGCCCCTTTCTAGCATTATGGCTTTGGGCAATTCAGCATCTCTGAGCTTTTCACTCATCAATAAAATTAACTACTCTCTTGCCTCAAGTGGTGGCAGTAAACAACCAATAAAAGAATACTCATTGAAGAGCTTTTCAACCTGTATGTCATTGAGCAAGTACTTTCTGTTGTTACCATTATTATCTTCTTAAAAGTCATAAACTAAAGGCTAGATCTCACTGTCAGGCATGTTTTTTCTGGGCCATACTTTTGTAAGTTTTAAAGTAGTTTTTGAAAAGTCAGAATATCTTGCAACACTAAGTGTCTATCTTCATGGTGCCAATCTGCTGGAACCAAGTGCTGTCTGTTTAGACAGTGCATGTGTGCTTAAGTTTGCTACTGCACCTTAATGTTTACACTTTCTTTGTGCTTATTGATTGCTCACCTGACCCCTAGAAACATTTCTGTTTAGAACCCCTGAACCCCTGATCTACTTCAGCTTCTCCTGTCCTTGACCCCACACTGGTTAACTACTAACCTACGGTTAAATCCAATTTGGATAGCTCTGTTTGATGTAAATGTTTTCCTTATGTTGGAGGCATCTGTCTTCTTGTAGCTTCCACCCGTTGGCTGTGGTTCAGCCTTTCGAAGCAATGCAGGTAAAGACTACTTCTTCTCTGAGTGACAGCCCCTCACATCCTTGAAGACAGGGACAATCTGTATGTCACATATAGAATATAAACATGTGTCCCCAGTTCACTGTGGTTCTTCTTACCTAAGAGATTCTTTGGCCAGATGTTCTGCCCAGTCATATTAATCTGGCTGCCATACTCTCTTACTGATTTCATTCTTGATTTATTGACCAGACTTAGGAGATGCCTTGATTTTCCATATTAAAGAAGATGGACAATTATTAAGATGACTGACTACTTCCACAAATTTTAAAATTCTTTAAATGGCTTTAGAAACATTTTGTGGGGTTTTAAAGAAAGTTTTGCAATCCTAGTTACAAAAAAAAATTCTCAGTTTTTAAATTTTGAGAGTTTTTAGCTTCAAAAATTACCTTTAAAAATAACAGTGATATATATCCATAATAGTAAAACAGAAATATATGAAGTGCATTGTCAACCTCCCTCTTTCCTTGTTCTTCCTTTTCAGAAATATTTCCTTTTCACACACACACATATATACATATTTGTGAAAAATAAAAAGCACTTATATATAAAATGTAAAAGGTATATGTGTGTGTGTGTGTGTGTGTGTGTTTATGTGTGTATAAGTTTTATTTTTTACAAATGAGATTATGCCATGGTATTCTGTGACCTATTTCACAAAATAATCATCTTGAATATTTTTTCATTTAGTAATATATAGTTACCTCATTCTTTTAATGTTGAATCATTTTATTTAAATTATTTTATTTTATTGGATCTTAAAGTTGGAAGAGACCTTACAATTCACCTCTTAGCCTTCCTGATAATGAAGAAACTACCGTTTATAAAATTCTTGGCAAATGATCAGTCTGCCTGAGCTCAAATCCTTCTAGCTATTTGGTGCTCAGTATCGCCTGAGGCTAGACTTCCCCTCTGTAAATGGCTATGATTAGTGGAGGGTTTTCCTGAGTATTTAACTGGGATAACTAGAAGAATTTTCTTAGTTTTTCTTAAGTCTTTAGTGTCAAATAGGAATTAGAAATGAATACATAATAACATTGTGTTTTATGTTTGCCTAATGACACCAAAACTTCCTGGTGCTTTGCCACATGAGCTGGAATGAGAATTGATAATCACTCCTCTGATCTAACTGTCCCCAGATCCTTTAACCAAGCCACACCTCTGCAGAGTACGTGGACTTCTCTTCCCACATAATCCAGGTTGAAAAGATCCAAACACACTTTAGCCTGCCAATGTTACATTTGGTCCTCAAAACCAAAAGAGATTTCCAGATGCAGTCTGAGCAGAGCAGAATGAATCAGAGTCCACTGGTGACCAATATCTTGGGGGATGCAGGATGGAAAGGGAAAAGTGCTACTGAGCAAGGATTGATGGTCAATCCTTAGGCAGAATGGAAATGAAGTTTATTGTGTGTGTGAAAGCAACAGGAGATGAACTTTCAAATGGGTTGGCAGGATTCCTGCCTTAAATCAACATTAGAACCACTTTGTAGTTGACAGTTTGATTTCATTGACTCCTGCTGGGTAAACTGAGTGGTGGCAAAATGGCATTTCAAGCCTTCAGTGTGAGGATGAGAGGATAGATGGAGTCAGTTTTCACAGGCTATGGCTGATTTATAGTACTCATTAAATTCTCAGGGAAGGCAGTTATCAAAATCATTGACTCCCCTGAATATTTAGTACTCCATGACCTTGTTCTCTTTCCCACAGATGAGATGGCGAACTGATGTCCTTTCTCCCTTTCCTTTACAGAATCACTTCCTACACGACCACCAACTTTTCCACCAACCATTCCACCAGCAAAAGAAGGTAAAATAATAATAGAATAATGATCTGATTTTAGGTTTAGGATTTGTGTTGGTTTTGTTTGCCTGTTCATTTAAAACCAGGGTATTAATAAAGTATATTTATTGTGCTACCTAATTTTCTCCTTAATACAAATGCTTATCAACCATGATGGGCTTGAATGATATCCATTTAATATCAGTTCTGCACACAAAGAGTGGATTTACTAACAGAATGCTTAATACTAATTTTTTGAAATATGAGAGCAGTTAACATTCATTAAGGAAGAATAGTTACATAATTTGTAAGTGAAAATCCAGTCTGTAATTTCTCAGGTACAATAATAGTTTCCCAGCCGACCTCTGAAGTGTCTTTTTCAGTTGTTTTTTCTTTCCTCATCACAACAGTTCCTCATGACCTTTTACCTAAGCTATTAAGGTAACTTTAAAAAGGCCCCCAACAAAGTAGTGATCATTATTTTTTTCATTTCAGTAGTGAACATTTATTAATCCTGCTATTTATTCTCAAAGCTCTTATGGTAGGCGTGGGAAATACAATAATAATACGTGATTGCTGCTCTCTGCTTATTTTTAGTATTAAAGAGAAATGGGTGCTTGCCTAGATAAATACCAGTCAAGTTTATGAGTTATAAAATAGCAGTTGTATTATGGTAGTCCAGAAGTGGTAATGGTTAATGTTGCTGCAGATTAATGAATCGTAAAGGAAGAGGAATTTGATCTACATTTTGAAGAATGAGTTTGAGAGACAAGTAATGGGATGAATAACACTCGTTGTCAAGAGTGATTCAAGTACTTAATGGATTTAGGGAATCATAAATGCTTTAGTGTGGCACTAAAGAGAAAAGAATGAGGATAGAGTTATGGAGTGGTTAATGTGACAAAATTAGGAATTTGGGCTTTATCCTGTGGGTAATGGCATGTCGTGACAATCTGTAAGAAGGAAGGGGGATCTGATGAAATCTATGTTTAAGAATGGTAACTTTGGCGAAATAGGGAGGATGGACTGGAAGAGTGAGAGGAGAAAGTGGAACACGTTAGAAGGTTGTATTGGAAGAGTTCTTCCATTCATAATGCATCTTAAAGTGCCTGTTACATACCAGGGAAACAATAAAAAATAAGTTATTCGGAGTTTAAAGTCAGTGGATTCAAATGCTGCAGAGAGTGGAAGACACAAAGAAACAGGCAATTAAGAACTCCAATAAAGCTCAACATTCATCCTAGGATGGCATGCAAAGTCTTCACGAATCAATCTATTTTGCAGTATTATTTCCCAGAATACATTATATAATAGCAAAATTGTACAACTCAGGGTTCCCCATACATGTCTTATGCTGTCCTGCATCTTTGAATGCTATTCACTCTACCTGGAATGCCAAATTCTTTCTTCTTCCAGCTTCGTATCTAGCCTTCTTTAGTCTCAACATCTATGGTTATTCTCACTATTGGAACTAGAAACAGAATCCTAATTGATAAATTTACTAATTAGGCACCTCTGATGCAGATATTACAGAATGCTCTGAGGTCAGAATATTTTTATTTATAGCTGAGTATGGATATTATTCTATCAACATTCACGAATTCTTATGGAAGACTTATGTGATCTGGAAGGGTCTGTGGGATTAAGGATTGACAAAGTAGAAACCTTGGTTCTGAGATTTTCATTGTGATGGTTTTAGATGGTGCTTTTACAACTTGAATGCACTGTGTATTTTAGGCTTTGTTTGTCCTGGGTATATTTAATTTAAAAGCCAATAAATTTATATTATTAAACTAATACTGAATATTTATTAAACAAATATTAAAACATAGAAAAAACATAAAAGAAGAACATTAAAAACACAACTTTTTACCCCAGAGGTAATTCCTTCATGCATGTTGATATATTTTCTTTCTTTGATTTGCTAACTAAATTTTTCGTTTTGAGTGTATTTTTTAATAGAATTTGCTCTCATTTTGAAAGTGAAACGTAATTTTCACTTTTATCTTTCCATGGAAACAGAGGACCTGTTTATAAACTCATAATTAGCAGATCTTGTTATTCCTTTCAGCTTTAAGTTCAAACCACAAATTTGTAAAATTTTATAAATCACAGAACTCATGAGAACAACCTCACCAGATCTGTACTGCCCCTAGAGTATTAGCTCACTTGGAGATGGTTTATTTTATATTATAAATAGCTTTAAGGCAATAAAGTTGTACTTAATAAAATAAAAACTAAGTGAGGTTTTCCTTAAAGCAAGGAGAAAGGCACATTATCTCATAGAATATTTGTGTGCAATTGGCATAAGATTAAAAGATTCAGATTATTGAAGAGCAAATTGTTTGCTTCATCATAAAACAGAGTCAACTGCAATGATCAACCCTAATGAAGAGGAGGAGAGGCATAGATAATCTGAAACAGCACATGATAACATAATAGACTTTTAAAAACTGTTCTCAGTAGAGTAGGTTTTTATTGGTATAGTTTGCTTTGTTTAATTATTTTTGCTTGTTTGATTGCTTTATTGATATCTGTAATACCTGCTGATAATACTTTCCCTTGGCTAGCATTAGTGTACATTTCTTGACATGTATTTGTGGGCAATAGAAGGACAGAGACAGAATTTTTTTTTTTTTTAACCAAGATTAGAATTTGTTTGTTTAGGGCCTCAGCCCAAATGAATATCAAATTATAATTAGATTAATCTGTTTCCATTTTAGCACATGCTTTTCTGCTGAGATTGAATCTCTCTGACATTAACTTGCTAATTCAATAAGAAAAGGACGGTGCACAGAGTGATAGCGTGTCCTTTTTTCCAATCAGTTGGCACTAGACAGTGTTTGCTGATACTTTGATCTCTGAATCCCCTTAGTCCCATCTTTTCCTAGTCTTTCATTTTCATTCTTTTGGGCTGTGGTTGGTAGACACTTTTTTTCTTTCTCTGTTTCCACATGCATAATAGAAGCTTCTTAGTCATGAATAAGAACGGGGCTTTGAATATAAAAGAGTAATTACAGCAAAGAAGCATAGTGAACAGGAGTTTGTAATATGAACATTAAGAAGTTTATATCTTCCCTTTGAAAAAGAGCTTCACTTATCAGAGGGCAACTATTATTTGTCTTACTGGTTTAATAACTACTAAATTTTCCCCTTATCTCTGACTCAAAATTCATTGTTGGTCTTCAGTATGTAAGGCGGCCAAGGCTGACCTGGTATTTATGGTGGATGGATCCTGGAGCATTGGAGATGACAATTTCAATAAGATCATCAGCTTTCTGTATAGCACTGTTGGAGCCCTGAACAAGATTGGCACAGATGGAACCCAAGTAAGGCTAATAAATAATTCATTCATTCTATGTATTTAGAAATTATTTCTCCAGCTCTTATTACAACTACTTGTCAGGTACTGTAGGTCAGGAACTATAATGATTGGACTCAACCTTAAATGAAAAGATAGACAGGTATGTGTTTAGAAGCAGTTTATTGATGCCTGGTGAAGCTCCAGAGGATGCTTACCCTTAAAAGGTGCTGAGTTCAGCAAACTAAAACAAGGTAGAAAGTCCATGTCAGGGGATTACATACTAGGGTAGAATGTCTCTTTTAATGATACACACACTATTTTCCCTGCCCTTAAGGACTTTAAAATCTTGAAAGGAACACCTTACTATAGATCATGTGGAACATGAAACTAACTCATTCATTTAACAAATATGTATCAAGGATTTGTTATGGCCATGTACTATACTGTCATAATGAATGTCAATCAATGTCTCTAATTTTGTGGGGCTCGTATTCTTAAAAGTAAGGACAGAAGACATACTAGTCAGAATGGCTATTATTAAAAAGGCAAAATACAACAGATGCTGGCAAGATTGTGGAGAAAAGGGAACACTTATACATTGTTGGCAGATATGTAAATTAATTCAGCCATTGGAGAAAGCACTTTGACAGTTTCTCAAAGAACTTAAAACAGAATTCCCAAACCCAGAATCCCACTGTTGAATATATACCCAAAGGAATATAAATCATTCTACTATAAGACACATGCATGCACAAGTATGTTCATTGCAGCACTATTCACAATAGCAGACATGATATCAACCTAAATGCCCATCAATAGTAGACTGGATAAAGAAAATGTGGTACATATACATCATGGAATATTATGCAACAATGGAAAAGAATGAGATCATGTCCTTTGCAGCAACATGGGTGAAGCTGGAGGCATCCTAAGCAAACTAATACATAAACAGAAAACCAAATACTGCATGTTCCCATTTATAAGTGGGAGCTAAACATCAAGTATTTATGGACACAAGGAAGGGAAGAACAAACACCAGGGCCTACTTGTGGGTGGAGGGTAGGAGGAGAGTGGGGATTGAAAAACTACCTGTCAGGTAACATGCTGAATATCTGGATGATAAAATAATCTGTGCATCAAATCCCACGACTTGCAATTTATCTCTCTAACAAACCTGCACATGTACCCCTAAACCTAAAAGAAAAGTTAAAAAACAAGAGAAAAGGGACAGAGACAGATATAAACAGGCAAGCAAATAGATTCACAAGGTAGGGATGTACGCTATGAAAACAGAGTGATGTGATTTCAAGATGTCAGGGGATTACTCTAAATTGTGTGTGACAGTTATTTTAAATTGTATGGTCACCAAAGACCTCTTTGAGGAGGTGCCTTTTGAACTGAGATGTGAATGATGCAGACTTGAAGATCTGAGAATGGAGTTTCCAGACAGAGAAAATGATAAGTATAGAGGACCCAAGATGAGAATGAGTTTTGAAACTTCATACACCAAAACTTGTGGCTAGAATATAGTAGGTGAGAGTGTGAGGATAGAACAAGTGGAAGAAGCAGCCAAAAGCCAGATCATCTTGAGTCTTGTGGACCATCAAAGGAGTTCAGTATCATCATAAATGCAACTGGAAGTCACTGGAAGGTTTTAAGGAGAGCCAAGATCTGATGTGTTTCAGAAAAAAAGATTACCTCAACTGCTTTGTGGCATGTGAATTACTAATACGGATAAGAGTGGAAGCAGATAGACCAGTCAGGAAGGTGCTCTCATGGTCCAGCAGAGTGATCATGGTGGCCTGGACTAGGGTGGTAGCAATGAGGTACACTGAAACAAATGGATTTGGAATATATTGTGAAAGAATGGCTAAGAAAATTTGGGCACAAGAAGTATCGTAAGAGGATAATGGATACTTTGCAGAAAGCATACAAGACAGAAAAGATTAGGGTCCTATTTTTAGCCTCCTTAAGCAAAATAACTGTCAGCCAAGAATTCTGAATCCAGCAAAACTAAGTTTCATAAATGAAGGAAAAATAAAGTCATTTTCAAGCAAACAAATGGTGAGAGAATTTGCCACTACCAGACCAGCCCTATAAGAAATGCTAAAAAAAAGTTCTAAATTTGGAAACAAAAGTTTGATATACATCAGAATGTAACCTCTTGAAAGCATAAAACTCATTGGGACTATAAAACAATAACACAATGAAGAAAACAAAGTACTTAGGTAACAACATGGTGACTGGGACCGTACCTCACATCTCAATATCAATGTTGAATGTAAATAGCCTAAGTACTCCACTTAAAAGATACAGATTAGAAGAATGGATACAAAATCATAAACCAAATAGCTGCTGTCTTTAAGAGACTCACCTAACATGTAAGGATTTGTGTAAACTCAAGGTAAAGGGGTAAAAGAAGATATTCTACGCAAATGGAAACCCAAAGCAAGCAGGAGTAGCAATTATTATGTCAGATAAAACAGACTTTAAAGCAACAATAGTAAAATAAAAAGACAAAGAAAGTCATTATATAATGATAAAAGGATTGATCCAACAAGAAGATATTACAATCCTACATTTATATGCACTTAACTCTGGAGCTCCCAGATTCAGATTCAGAAAACAATTACTACGAGACCTAAGAAGTAAGACAACAACACAATAATAGTGGGAAATTTTAACACTCCACTAGCAGCACTAGACAGATAGTCAAGACAGAGAGTCAACAAAGAAACAATGGACTCAAACTACACTCTAGAACAAATGGACCTAACACGTATTTACAGAACATTCTATACAAGAACTGCAGAATATACATTCTTCACATCAGCATATGGAATATTTTCCAAGCTGGACCATGATAGGCCACAAAACAAGTCTCAATAAATTTTTAAAAATCAGAGTCATATCAGGCATCTTCTCAGATCACAAGGGAATAAAACTAGAAATCAGTTCCAACAGGAATCCTCAAAAGTATGCAAATACATGGAAATTAAACAATTTGCTCCTGACTGATTTTGGGGTTAATAATAAAATTAAGAAGGAAATTAAAAAATTCTTTGGAATGAAAGATAATACTTACACAAGTTGTCAAAACCTCTGACATACAGTAAAAGAAGTTCTAAGAGGAAAATTAATAGCACTCAATGCCCACATCAAAAAGTCGGAAAAAGCACAAATTGGCAACCTAATGTCACACCTCAAGGAACTGGTTCAACAAGAACAAACCAAAGCCAACGCTAGCAGAAGAAAAGAAATAACAAAAATCGGAGCAGAACTAAATGAAATTGAAACAAAAAGCAATAAAAAAGATCAATGAAACAAAAAATTGATTCTTTGAAAAGATAAAATTGATAGACCATTAGCTGGATTAACCAAGAAAAAAGAGAGAAGATTCAAATAGTTTCAATTAGAAATGAAAATAGAGACATTACAACCAACACCACAGAAATACAAAAGATTATTCAAGACTATTACGAACACCTCTATACATAGAAACTACAAAATCTGAACGAAATGGATGAATTCCTGGAAAACAACAACCCTCCTAGATTAAATCAAGAATAAGCCCTGAGCAGACCAGTAATAAGCAGTGAGATTGCATCAGTAATTTTAAAAAATTTCCCAAAAAAAAAAAAAAAGGCCCAGGGCCAGATGGATTCACAGATAAATTCTACCAGACATTCAAAGAAGAATTGTTACCAATTCTATGGAAACTATTAGATTGTTGCAAACCACAATTACTTTTGCACCAACCTAATATTCTAAAAGATTAGAAGGGGAATTCTCCCTATGTCATTCTGTGAAGCCAGTATTACCTGATACAAAAACCAGTAGAGGACATAATGAAAAAGAAAATATGCGGAGTTTAACATGCACAAGTCAATAAATGTGATACATCCGCATAAGCAGAATTAATTAACAAAAAACCGTATGTTCATCTCATAGAGTGCAGAAAACATTCAATAAAATCCGAAGCATCCTTTATGATAAATAACTTTCCAACAAACCTAGGCGAAATAAAGGGACAATACTCAAAAATAATAAGCCATATATAACAACCGAACAGCCAAAATTATACTGAATGGAAAAAGTTTATAGCCATTCCTTCTGAGACGAAACAAGACAAGTAGGTAATCATTTTTCACCACTTTCTATTCAAGAATAAGTATCTAGAAGTCCTAGCCAAAGCAATCATAGGGGCAAGAAAAATAATAAAGGGCATCAAAACTGGAAAAAGATAAATTAAATTGCTGTGTGCCAAAAATGATATGATCATATACCTAGAGAACTTAAAGAGGCTTCTCCAAAAGACTCCAAAAAAAAAAAAAAAAAAAAAAAAAAAAAAAAAAAAAAAAAACTAGATTTAGTAAACCAAATTCAAGTAAACTCTTAGGTTTACAGAATCAATGTATAATACAAATCAGTAGCACTGCTATACCACCAACATCAGTTCTCAGATAATGAGATAAGGCCTGAGATCAAATCAAGAAACACAAATAGATTTTTAGCTAATAGCTGCAAAAAAAAAATAGCTGCCAAAAAAAAATGGAGCATACATGGATAATATTTATACTTAAACTAAAAGAGATGGAAATTCTCTTCAATGAGAATCACAAAACACTAAAAGCTAAGAAATCAGAGATGACACAAAACAATGGAAAAGCATCCCATGTTCATGGAATTGAAAGAAATTCTTAGTGAAAATGACCAATGCTTAACCAAAGCCATCCTGCAGTTCAATGCAATTTCCTAATAAAAAAATAACCCAACATTTGTTTTCACAGAAAAATTAGAAAAAAACAACCCTGAAATTCATATGGAACCCCAAAAAGAGGCCCAAATAGCCCAAAGCACTCTAACCCAAAAAAGAAAAAAAATCCTGGAGGGCATCACATTTACCCGATGACTTCCAAAAGGTACACCTACACAGGCCATAAGTGTATCCAAAAACAGTCATGGTACTGTTAAAAACAGTAAGCCCACATATAAACTAATGGAAAGCAGAGCAGAGAACACAGAAATAAAAGTCAAATACAATACAACCACTGATCTTGGACACAAACAATTCAAAAACGTAAATTTGGGCGAACATGCACCCTAATTTAATAAAATGGCACTGGGAAAACTGGATAGCCACATGTACGAAATGAAACTGGATCCCCAACCTTCACCTTATAAATGCAAAATCAAACTCAAGATGGATCAAAAAGATCGTAAATCTAAGACCTGAATGATAAAAAATTTCTCCCCTAGAAAGATAACCTGGGAAAAACTCTTCTGGAGCATTGGTCTCTACGGCAAAGGGAATATATGACTAAGACTCCAAACAGCAGAATTCAACCAAAAACAAAAATAATAAATGGTACCTAAATTAAACATAAAAACCGTTCTGAACAGGCTAAAGAATAATCATCAGAGTACAAACAGCAAACCCCAAGAATGGGAGCGGGAAAATGTTTGCAAACTTGCATCTTGAGCAAAGAACTAATATCCAGAATCATAGGAACTCAGCACAATCAGCAAGAAAAAAACCCAAATATCTTCTCAAAAAAACAAATGGGAGAAATGGCATGAATAAAACGATTTTCTAAAAAGAAGAATACACAGAATGGCCACAAACATATGAAAAATGCTCAACATCACTAATCATCATGGCAAATGCCAGATCAAAACCACAAAATAGAGATACCATCTTGTCCCTGTAGAAATGGCCATTATTGATCACGAGTCAACAAAACAAATAGAATGTCGGTGTGGATGTGGAA